GGTACACATGGTACTTAATGAAATTGCTTTTAAAACCAGCATTTGCCAAATAGATAAATTGCCGGGGGGGGGGAGGGGGGGGAACCAAGCCACAACTCAAGATACTTGGCCACGCAATTGTTTCCTAATTTATTGGAAAGAATATTCAAATATAACATCCACTACATAGTTTGCCTTTATTGGCGGGGGGAACAACCACTTTTCTGCTGAAGTATATAATGTATTTTAATTTGGAAAATGACACCTTCAGCCCAGTTGCAAATAAACCATACTGTAGAACAAACAGTGCCAATATACGCTGTTAGCCCACTTAGAGTGCCCATATTCCTTTCAGGAGCAAGAATGTCAACAGTAAAGAATTGTACTGGTAGACTCGGAGAGGACAGAAAAACGCATGCCCAGCAACATGAAAAGCATTTTCCACAGATTACTTAAATTAAAAGAAATCTAGGCGACGGAAGAAATGACAGGAGGAAGATTTCAGATTACTTGTCTTTGGGAAGATCAGTCTATAAGCACAGCAAATTTACTATATTCTCAAGCAGACTGAATATAGACCCAAATCTGGACACTTGCAGAAAAGCAAGCAGTCAACTCCAGAAATTTCACTTTCACAGTAGGACCGTAACCTACTCAAGCTCAGAGGACAACATTCCACTACCCCTCTTTTACCCTACAGCCAAAAATTGTAGTAACTGAAGTAAAACAGATGCACCTATCATGCCAGTCAGAACAGTACACTGAGATAGCAGATTTAATGGTTTCAGAGGTCAGCTATTCCACAGAGTAGCTAAACAGATCTTGGATGAAGAAGAGGGGTCCCTGAGTAAAAGAAATTAGAGTGTCTGTGTCTCAGAGGAAACAGAGTCTCTTGGGCACACATTTTTAAATACTAGGTGACTAAATGGTACAGACAGGGACCAAATTCTCATTGTTCATTTTAAGGCAGTTAAGCACTATGCAATGTGAAATGCCAGTCTTTTGTACACTTTCAGATGCCTAAATACTTTCAAAAAATTTTTCTCATTTCCTGCACTGGCCACATTCCTATTTCCCATTTCTGGTAATTCTTTCGTATGTGGCCAGCATGCCCTGAAGAATAAACATATTCGTTCATATGTGAAGATTTCACCACCTTTCAGTAATGAGTCATCTCAGGGGAGAAGATAGGTAGATGACAGTAGGCAGATGATAGGTGATAGAAAATAGGTAGGCGAGGTCTAGGATCAATGAAATGTAATAGCATACATGAAAGTGAAGAAGTTGACCTTGGTGGACAAATGGAGGGGGACATGCAGGGACCGCTTTTTCTTTAGATAGTAGAAAGTGTATCACTGGAGAGAGTTACTGCTTAAGTTTGTCAGTCACAGCAGCCACTGAAAGCATGGACTTAATATTCAGAAACTCCTAACACAGTCAAGGAAAGTTTATGATGCACAAAGCTAGTAACACTGGCTTTCAAGGATGCTCAAAATGCTTCACAGGACTCTTCGGCTTATCTCTGGGAGTAGCACAGTGTTATCTAGACCCCAACTATCCTAGAGTGACCACTTTTGTCACTACTGAAAGCCTTAACTGTAATTTTAAGTGCTGACCCAGTAATAAAAAAAAAAACCCAAAACCCAACTCTGACTATAAGGCATGTGTGTACTAGGAAATTAAATACTGATGACCCAATTCTGTATGTTTGGATCTTGGTGCCTCAAAAGTTTGAGAAGTCTTACAGTTAGGGCATGAAAATATGAGAGTGTGCTTAAAAACTGCAACTAACTAGACAACAGCCAAGTCTATGGTTAAAGACAATGGAGAGTCAGGGTCTCTGGCTTCTAGAGAGAAAAATTTTGGAATAGTCAATATCAGATAGTAATGAAATAACCCTGGAATAACTAGAACTCGGTCAGGATCTCTGGTTGTAAGACAGGAATCAATCAATACCATTAAGAGGCATGAAAGGATTCCTACTCAGCTGATTCGTGAAAGCTTTCAGGAAACAAACAGGTTCTTCCCTTCTTGCCTTAGACCTAGCAAATCCTCTGTAAGTGGATCTTTTCTATTAAGGTCTGCAATATGAATTCATCCTTTGCACTTAGCTTTTTGGGGGGTTTTGTTTGTTTTTCTTGGTACATTCTGACTTTCTTCATTGTTAGTATCTAAAGAGCTAGGGACACTATAATTAGTTTTACTTTCAGTGGAGTATAAGGCCATGCGAGAGTCTAAATCACAAAGATTTAACGAAGGGCAAGGAGAGATATTTCTTCTTCCTAACAAATCAGCAAGAACTTGCTCTCTGTGAGACTTTAATCTTCCTCAGCTTTGAGCTTCCTCAGACTTCCTGTAGACAAAGGAACCAATCAAGAAATGCAAGCGTAAGGGGAAGATGACTCCAGAACCCAAGGAGACAGTAATCATTAGAAAAATCTCAGGAAAGGAAGCAAGAACAGCAAAAATCCTCACCCCTCGAGTGTGAATTTGGTTCATGTATTCAAAACTGTCTTACAGGGCATAAAGATCAGGTCTGCATTGCAATGCCATGCAGTGGGAAGAAAAAAGCTTGAGAAAAGGCAGTAGGAGATGAGGGGACACTGGAGATCTTTGAGACCAACAAGGGATTTTCACCATTTTTTTGTCTGAGTCCTCTCTAATCTTACTAACTTTCACACCAACAAGCAATGCTTGAGGCTGAGCTCACCAAAATCATGATGTGTTCTCATTGTTTCAAGCAACTTAAACCATAACGAATGGGGACCTGACTCCTTAAGAGCAGCACAGAGGCAGAGCAAGAACACTGGAAGCAATGGGAGAAAAGAAGGAATACCTAAGTAGGAGAGAGAAAGAAAGAGGCAAAAACCCTGAGAAGCACCTGGAAGCTTTTCAGCCTCCAACTTGAAGGAGGAGGGCCTAATGCCACCTCTATTAGCAACACCAACAAACCAGTTCCTCAGTGCTGCCACAGCAGTGTCTGTACTTACAGATGCAATGCAGTGACAGTACACAGCACAGTCCATGTTTAGTCTGTCTGGGAACCAGAGAACTTGAGAGATAAACAAAATCTTTGAAAAAATATTTTTATATTCATTACAAGCAAATTCTCTACCTTGTGCACTATGAATAAGGCTGTAGACAGGTTCTGAAAGGTGAAAAAGGCAACTCATAACACAATCTCCAAACTGTCAGATTCATTGCTGATAAAGTATTCTTTTTGTCACTTCAAACTTTATTCCTAAATAACTATATTAAAAATAAGATAATTACAATATATAATATTGCAAGTCAGAAGCTATTTTTCCACAGCTTCCTATCCAAAACAGACTTAAATTAACAGAGGAGAAGTTATTACTAGTACTCAAAGACCACGTAATGCATTTAGAATATGAGGTTACACATAGCCTTAACTCAGGAAAGCACTTAAATCCATTCTTGTTTTCAGGAAAAGGGAAAGTCTTCCTGACTCAGGGCCTCTAAAGCAGAGGTATGACATATCATATACATACTACTTGGCCATACAGTAAAGATTTGACTGGTTTGTTTCACAAATTCTTGAACTTCACAGCAAGTCTTATTCCAATATGTATTAAAAATAAGCCAGTTCAACTGAAAGTGCAATTCTCCTTTAACAGCCAAGTTGTCTCTACTTTCACACATCATTCTTGCAGTAAAACTGTCACAAGTTGAAACAGAAACATGATGACAGTACCCCACACTTTTTGGTAATTCAGAAATTTCACACAAAATATTAGCACTCACCAAAAATAATATTCTGGTTCATATAGTTATGAAAATGTTCTACTGATTCTGAAATGCTTCTGACATTTCTCATTATGAATTACATAGGCAGAGCAGCAGCACTGCAATTGTAAAATACCCTCAATCATTTCTACAAGCTATGAATTCAATGCTAATACCAATGATATTTTAACGTCAATATTATTTGCTAGCACATGGAACTCGTGGACAAAGCATTATAAAACAGACAGCTCAAGTGCTTTTTGGATTTGATTAGTTAACCAAAAATTCTGAGATTCAAAAGCTGTTCTAGGTCACGGCCTCTCTCAGGACTGTATTTTTCCCCCCAGGATTTCTTTAAAACTGCACCCAATCAGATTATAAAAAACAGATGCAATGAAGCATCTGACACTTCCCCTGGGAGACCTTTCCATAGCCAGCAAGTTGTTGTTTTTCCCCAAGTTGAATTTTAATGTAATTTCATCTCATTGCTCATTCTTATGGAAGCAAGGAGAAAGAGTCCCCACAGGGAAGGCAACAGGGGAAAAAAATAAACAATTGCTAAACTACACTGAAAAAGTGTATAAAAGCAATTCAGCTGTGAAGCGTGTTGATGAAAGAAGAACCATGAAGGTAAGGGTTAACTTAAGTCACAAAAGCAGCTTCCCAGCTTTCTCTTCTCCATCAGCATGGAAGAGTCACAGATGCACGTGGATGGCTCCTAAGGAAAAAATCTGTATGAAAAAATGCTTGGGTTATCATTCCATAAATACACCTTTGGGAAAAGAACCAAAGTTCCCTTAGAATTGCTTAACTTCCTACTTCTCAGCGTAGGAAGAAAAGTACTTTGAAAGTTATTATTACAGTCTTGAAAAGGTATCAGCCATGATATCTTCCCACTTCTTCTCATAAACAAATGAAACTACCATACTAGACAGCACTACCATAGTTTAACAGAAACATTGTACAGTCTATTGCCCTGTCCATGAGAACATCCAATGAAAGATGTTGCCAAGGGAGATATCATAAAATATCTGATTTAGTCTATAAGGATTTTTCTTTCCTCACAACTTAAGGAATGGTATCTTGCTGCTTATTTAACATATCCTACAGCTACAGAATATATTTGCTTTTTTAATTCCTTCACCTTCTCCATTGTTAGCAAGAACTGGTGAAAAGACAGTTTAGAGAATTAGTGCAGGATGCATATGCAGACAGCTATTTTGAAAACATTACAAACACAGAACATTATAAACACAAAACTCCTGGAAGGTATCATACAAAAAGAGAAAAGAGAAAGCATTTCACAGTCATCACCAGTGTCAGCCACAGAAGCAGACATTCGTCATCTAAAAGACATACATTTTGTAATGTAAAAGCCCAAATCAGTATTTAAAGAAAAATAATAGATACCCTCCAGGAAATATCTAGTCCCCACTGCTGTCAACAGAGAGACTCCTAAGTAACATCAGAGGGAAGTGGATGCGAATTTGATCTCTGTCCTTCAGAATCTCAGAATCAAAAAAAAAGGCATGGTGATGGCCAGCAACAGCTATACACTAAAGGCCCAATTCATTTAGAAAAGAAAACATAAATAATTTGTTAATCAACAAAAAGAAGACTAAATGAGCTTGAAGAGATTTCATGTGTCCTCATCTGCAACTTCCTTTCGGCGCTGGGCCCGGAAATGACGCTCAATATTTATTGTCACTTCCCTCTGCAAATTTCTGCTGTTAGTTTTTCCAGCTGTTCTGATCCAAGGGTGCTGAAGTACTTGTCGTGCTGTGTAGCGCTTCTGGGGATCCACTATCAACAGCCTGGTTATGAGGTCTTTTGCTGCTATTATGAAAGAAAGAAAAGGAGAGAGGGGAAAAGAACAGTGACGTGATGATGCTGACAGTTATACCTACATAAAACGCCCTTCTTATTTTTTCATATTAGTTTTACCATAATGACTTTTGTGACTATCCCCAGGAGATATTCTAACAACTGGATTGAGAACTAGTGACAGGAGATGTTAGATCTCCAGCATATCTTTTACTGATATCATTCTCCCCTTCAGAAAGAGAGGAGAAACTGAAGGGAATTTAATCTTGAAAGGCATCAGGCTAAGTGTTCAAATTCACAGGAATTAGCATTGGGTATCTCATCCCTCAAGGAGCGTAAAAGTCGTAGAATGCTGTTGAGCATGTTCTTTAAAAGACTATATAGGGAGAGAGGGGTTTTAGGGTTTCTGACTTTGAAGAGTGCACAAAAGACACTGTACTAGCCTGCGAGAAGGAAAAAACTACTACGTGCAGACCCCATTGATCCCAATAGAAAATCCACACTGCGTTCTGCAGAGCAAGGATTTCATTCTCAGCTTTTGAGATTTTTTGCGTACATCTTTACAATCTAACATAACTCTGGAGATTATTTTGGTACCTTTTTCTACAGAGACAATTCATATAAGCAAGGTGAGGAAAATCCTTGCTCTTGCCTCAGAAAGGGAGCAATCCATTAAATCAATCAGACCTAATATTCAGATTCACAGCCATCAATGCTACCAGAAGACTAAATTCACATTTAAAGCAAACACAGAATCACACAAAAGAGACCTGTAAGACACCTCCAAGTTCATTGAGCTCACTGTCCTGAACAGAAAGGAGTTCTTCCCACTCCAGGGAAGAAGTCTGTCACTTCTCAGATCTGCTATACATACTGAATCTTACCTGCAGAAATATTGTCCCAGTATGGGGAAAGGAACTCGTAGTGACCCAGCTGTATGATCTGAAACAGCTCTTCTTGATCACGCTCCTGACTGCGAAAAGGGGGAAAACCGCAGAGCAGAATGTAAAGGATCACACCAGCTGCCCACATATCTACTTCGAGCCCATAGCCTAAGGAAGAAAAGACAAACCAAAAGTCCTGTTTTAGAAAGAAAACTCACAACTGTTAGGGAACTGTTTCTTTTTCATTCCATTTTCCAAGAAACACAGAATCTGCTCAGTTTCTCAAAAAGATGAGTTCAGCAGAAGAGTAAGTGGCTGGTACACTACGCTTACAAGCTGAGCTGCTCTGCCTGTTAATAACTACAGCTCTCACAAAGCGCCTCTCTTCTTCAACGTGTTTCACAAACACTGTCTCACAAGGCCAGTGTCAATTGGAGGCTAATTGAGAAAGCACAGCATATATTTCTAAAATAGTCCTCCTCAGATTCCCTTCAAAAAAGCACTAAGAGAGTGCCAAGTTTCCACTGAAATTGGAAATAACTGGAGACGTGCAACCCAGCTCCACAGAACAAAAAACAGAAATAGCTTTGCTTGAGTCATCAACAATACTGACTCCTTTTCAGGCCTGAATCTTTTTGGATATGAAATCTCCAAAATTTCTTCTGATGCGAAACATGTTTTGGCTTGTTACATAAGTTTAACATACATGTTCACAATGTTTTTGCATCATCAGGGGCCTTGGAATGTTGTTTGGGTTATAGTTGTGAAATGGGGCTGACTACCCTCAGGCTGCAACATGAACTTCTGCTCATTTCCCCACTTCAGCAATTACCATCTATGATATTTTATGGCTTGTCTGTTTGGAGATCAGTGTTATATTACCATAGACGTTAATAATGCAAACATGACTGATGTCATGCTTGTGTTTGTCAAAAGCTAAAAGGTTTCCTTTCCTTTCACAGATTACACTGCTAGCCAATCTCCTACCCTGCAAAGACGTATCAGTAGGTTGAAACATTCTGGAATATTTCCATGATTAGAAAGTTCAGAGTAGTTGTATGATTTACGACAAATTATAAATATATACACTCACCCTTCTCAGCAAGTATTTCAGGGGCAACATATGTTGGTGTTCCACACACAGTAAATATGGGTTTTGTAACCTGCTTTGCAAGGCCAAAATCAGCTAGTTTCAGTGTAGTAGATTTATCTGCATTGTGCTGAACCTACACTCAACAAAAAATACATATATTTAGTCCAGATGCATTTTAAGACAGCAAAAGATAAAGGAAGTAGGTAATATTAAACAGGAAGAAGTCCCAATAATAGTGTCTTTAAGTAAAGCAACATAAAATGGAAACAGTATTTTGATAAACAGTATTCAGAAAGTGGTTTTTCTCCCATATACTAAGAGGGTGCATATATATAAGAGGACAAGCAATAATGGAAAAAGAAAACAAACTTTGGCACACTGTAATTTCCAAGAAATGAAAAGGAGGCAGACGAAAAATAACCGAGAGTCAATTAAATGTTATTATTTCCTTTTGGGAGAGTAAACTTTTCTTTTCCCTTCGGAAAGCAAAGAAGAATGCTGTGGGCGTCTTTACGCTTAAATGCGATATTCCCAGGTAAGCTACTGACTTTACAATGTCACTTGAAAAGCACATCTCCATCATACCAGTCTAACAAAAAAACCCCAAAACAAACGAAAACTTTACTTTCTTTACAAATTACTCTACTACTCCACCTGAAAATAAATGAGTCACAGTCATCACATAGTAAGAGTTGGAGAAATGGATCCATACAGAATGTCCTCTTAAATAGGTCTTTTCAGCAGTTCCCATCTCCTAAATCCACCTGGAAAGTAATCAAATCACTTCTTCCCATTCTAATTTTGTATGCGTGGGTCTTTAGCATTAATTTGTAATACAGTTAATGAAAAATTATTTTAAGAAACAAAATATGTCAATGACATAGACAGTGGGATCGAG